TGTGTCTCATGTGGGGGCTGCAAGGGGGGCTGTGGCTCATGCGGGGGAAGCGAGGGGGGCTGGGCTCATGTGGGGGCCGCAAGGGGGGCTCTAGTTCCTGTGGGGGTTGCAGTTCCTGTGGCTGCTGCAAGCCCAGCTGCTGTGTTCCCATTTGCTGCCAGTTCAAGATCTGATGTGATGGCCACAGATTTCAGGATTCCCATTAATGACAACGATTGATGAGGCCCCTGGTTTCTTCATCCCTTCGATCCATCTCTTGCTCCTGCAAACCTCTCTTCTACATTTTCCTTGTACCAAGCACAGCTAGCACTAACATGTGGTCCCTTCTTTGACTTTGAAGAAATATACATCCTAATCCTCTGCGGTCAGCTGTCTCTGACTCTGGCCATAGACATGTTCTGCCTGACCTTGGCCCAAGCCCTGGGTCTCTAGTGATTGACCCAGAACATCTGCAACCTGGCTTCTCGAAAGGAGGAGCCACAATCTCCGTCCACATGGAGCCCGTTTCCTCCTACTTCTCTGAAACAGCTCTGTCCAGCAGGGGGCTTCCTTCCTGTTGGGCTCCATCTTTTTCTGTTAAAATCAAACTGAATTTCAATTTAATAAAAGGTACCCCTTTCACTTATAATAACTCTACTCATGATGTGATTCTTTATTTCAGCCTCATTCCTCTGTATTATGGCATGTTTCATGTCAAATTCATTTCCAGGAACCCCATGTCCAACCAGCAGGTACATACATAACCCATACGCCATCCATTTTACATCCATCTATCCTGAAGCCTTCCAAAAATCCTTCTATGGCCCTGAAGACTGGGCAAGGGGACATTGGGGGAAGCATGAGCTAGTGTAGGGTGCACTGGGTTTGGATTCAGGGCACCGGGATTTGAGCCCTGGTCACCACTGTCCAGCATGCAGATCGTAGGCAACTATGTTCTCTCACTGACTTCAATTTACCCAAGTCCACAATAAGCAAGTGGTCACAATGAGGTCAGAGTCTTTGCGTCTCCAGGAATCCTCTTTTTTCTGTACTGCAAGGGGACAGGGTAGAAGGAGTACAGGACTACATCAGTACAGATGAGCCTGCTGGGGCTGGAACTGGTCCCCAGGATTACCAAGCTCCAAATACCATGCTTTTTCCACGTGTCTCCAAGTTCTGGTGACTGTTGAAGGGAGTCATTGTGGCACCACACACTGTCCCTTTCACAAGAGCAGAATTCTGAGATGTCCCCCAAGATCCTCCGCTCACTTTCTCCCAGGTAGTCAAACTTTAATCTAGGTGCTTCTATGAAGGGATTTTGTAACTAAGGTTCCTAATCAATTGACTTTAAGATGGGGAGATTATCCCCAGCAGATCTGATCAAATCAGGTGAGCCCTCAAAAGGAACCAGGCTATTTCTGGTGAAAGAGATTCAAAGCATGAGAGAGATTCAGCATGAGGGAGATTCTCAGTTGCTGGCTATGAAGATAGGGGGTCACATGGCAAGGAATGCTGATGCCCTCTAGAGACTAAAAATGGTCTTACATTGATAACCATCAAGGAAATGGGAAGAACCCAACATCCAGATGAGCATACGACCTGGCCAGCCGTTTGGTTTCAGCCTCATGAGACCCTGAGCAGAGAACCCAGCCGTACTGGACACCTGAACTACTGGACTGTGAGCTAATACATGGGGGTTGTTTTCAGCGCCTACATTTGTGGCAATTTGTTACACAGCAATAAGAAAACTAACATACCCTTCTGATGCTCCCCTTTTGAATTTCAGATCTGCCTCTTTCTCTGTGTGATATCTAGTTTCATCTCCTATCTCAGTTCCTCATCAAAACACGTGGATAACACAGGGTTGCTTTGAGGGTTAAGGCGGATGATGCACAGAGAGCCCGTAACGCGTAGACTGCGACGTAGCAGCTCCTCTAAGCTGCTGGATGGCAACGCTAAACCTGAGACTGCTCCTCTCGCCCGTACATCCCTCATCTCTTCATTTTCAGCAGCGTGATGACTCTTCTACAAACACCTTTATTCCCCTCGTCCGTTCCCCCTTCCTTCTCTGACGTGGCAAAACCATAATATTGAATGAAGCCTGGGACCTGCCTTCTCTGCACTTACAGCCAAGCACGGGGCATGATCATCCCTCCCAGGAGCCCACAGGAATGCCCCGAAGTCCCGGCCAGCACACATCTGGCTTACCTGCACATGGCCCTGAGTCCTCTGCTTACTGTCAGTAGGGTTACTACCTGTATCCTCCAATACTTCACCAGGATTGATCCCATTGTTCCTCACGCCTCTGTTTTCCCACACATGGCCCTACACCTCCTCTACTCTGAGTCAGTGCCACAAACTCCAAATGTCCAATGGACTCCTGGAATTCATAATCTGCCATTTGCAAAATACCAGTATTTCAGCCACTTCACCTTCTTGTACTTAGACCTGGCTGTCCTAGCAGGATCTATGTCCCCTAAACTCCTCTCAGGTGGAGGCTATTTTTTTCATCTTGCCTATCACTCTCTCAGATAAACCTGAGGGCCTGGAGTTAGGCATAGGTGTCCTCACATTTCTGTTTGCAGCTTCCAGGCCATTTCTTTTACAGCCTTTGCTGTTCTCTGCCAAGCCCTCAGTTACTCCCCCTCGTTTGCTGAAGATTTAGGCATCTGGCTTGTGACCCTCCTCTCCACCAATACACTTTTCATTACAGGCAGTCCTCGGCTTATGAACATCTGACTTATGTACAACCTGTAGTTATAAACCAACCCCTGTAAAGCCTATTACATTAAAAATTCGAAGTATCTACAATGGTTTGAAATAACAAACAGGCACTACTTTGTGACACACATCAAAATATTTTTACTATTATTACTGTATTATTATGTTAAAGATGTTTTAGTGTATCTGGAAGTGTTTCTTTAATGTTTTCTATGCATAGAAAGGTGCACTATATACCAAGACAAGCATGTGACTGACTGATGTTAGATATGAACTGTACCTAACTGTTCCAACTTACGTACACATTCAACTTAAAGACAGACTTAGGAAAAAAATTCATTCGTAATCCAGGGACTGCCTGTATCTGTTTCTTGTTCCTGATCCTTCTCCCTCATTCCCTGAAAATTTTATCACATGGCTCACTAACTTAATATCGTAACAAATAGAATTAGTCTATGAAGCATTATAGAACAGAAAATGGACATGACACAAGGACAAAAGACATGATTAAAAAATAACAGCTATAAACCTTAATGCACCAACCAACAAAGCAACCAAATATATAAAACAGAACTCAAAATGACTGACCATTTTGGAAAAAAAAAAATAGTTACAGTGTTAACTGTTAATACATCTCCTTCAAAATTTGACAAATAAAATATATTAAATGTAAGTAATGTTATAAAAGATTTGAATAATATAACATTAATGAACTTGATTTAATTGACATATAAAGTGATTTCTACCACAGAGGAAGAAAATACACATTCTTTTTACACATAACTTGTTGTTGTTAGGTACTGTTGACTCAATTCCGACTCATAGCAAACCTATGTACAACGGAATGAAACTCCGCCCAGTCCTGCATCATCCTCACAATCTTTGTTATGCTTAAGCACATTATCACAGCCACTGTGTCAATCCATCTCCTTGAAGGTCTTCCTCTTTTTTGCTGACCCTCCACTGTACCAAGTGTGATGTCCTTGTCCAGGGACTGATGCCTCCTGATAACATGTCCCAAGTGTGTGAGACATAGTCTCACCATCCTTGCTTCTAAGGAGCATTTTGGCTGCACTTCTCCCAAGGCAGATTTGTTTGTTCTTCTGGCAGTCTGTGGTATATTCAATATTCTTCACCAGCACCACTCGGTCTTCCTTATTCATCATCCAGCTTTGACATGCATATGAGGCAACTGAAAACTCCATGGTTTGGGTCAGGTGCACCTTAATCTTCAAGGTGACATCTTTGTTTTTCAACACTTTAAAGAGGTCTTTTGCAGCAGATTTGTCCAATGCAAGACAACGTTTGATTTCTTGAGTGCTGCTTCCATGGGTGTTGATTGTGGATCCAAGTAAAATGAAATCCTGGACAACTTCAATCTTTTCTCCATTTATCATGATGTTGTTTATTGGTCCAGTTGTGAAGATTTTTGTTTTCTTTCTGTTGAGGTGTAATCCATACTGAAGGCTGTGGTCTTTGATCTTCATCAGTAAGTGCTTCAAGTCCTCTTCACTTTCAGCAAGCAAGGTTGTTTCATCTGCATAATGCAGGTTATTAATGAGTCTTCCTCCAATCCTGATGCCTCCTTCTTCTTCATATAGTCCAGCTTCCCAGATTATTTGCTTAGCATACAGATTGAATAGGTATCATGAAAGATACAACCCTGACACACGTCTTTCCTGACTTTAAACCACGCAGTATCCCCTTGTTCTGTTTGAACAACTGCCTCTTGATCTATGTACAGGTTCCTCATGAGCACAATTAAGTGTTCTGGAATTCCCATTCTTCGCAATGTTATCCATAATCTGTTATGATCCACAGATGCCTTTGCATAGTCAATAAAACACAGGTAAACATCTTTCTGGTATTGTCTGCTTTCAGTCAAGATCCTTCTGACATCAGCAGTGATATCTCTCGTTCCACATCCTCTTCTGAATCTGGCTTGAATTTCTGGCTGTTCCCTGTCGACATACTGCTGCAGCCACTTTCAAATGATCTTCAGCACAATTTTACCTTCACATGACATTAATTACATTGTTCCATAATTTCCACATTTGGTTGCATCACCTTTCTTGGGAATACGCATAAATATGGATCTCTTCCAGTTGGTTGGCCAGGTAGCTGTCTTCCACTTTTCTAGGCATAGATGAGAGGGCACTTCCAGCGCTGCATCTGTTTGTTGAAACATCTCAACTGGTATTCTGTCGATTCCTGGAGCCTTGTTTTTGCCAATGCCTTCAGTGCAGCATGGACCTGTTCCTTCCGTACCGTTGGTTCCTGATCATATGCTGCTTCCTGAAATGGCTGAATGTCAACCAATTATTTTTGGTACAGTGACTCTGTGTATTCCTTCCATCTTCTTTTGATGCTTCCTGAATTGTATAATATTTTCCCTGTAGAATCCTTCAATATTGCAACTCGAGGCTTGAATTTTTCTTCAGTCCTTTCAGCTTGAGAAATGCAGAGTGTGTTCTTCCCTTCTGGTTTTCTATCTCCAGGTCTTTGCACATGTCATTATAATACTTTTACTTTGTCTTCTCGAGCTGTCCTTTGAAATCTCCTGTTCAGCTCTTGTACATCATTTCTTCCTTTCACTATAGCTACTCAACATTCAAGATCAACTTTCAGAGTCTCTTCTGACATCTATTTTGGTCTTTTCTTTCTTTCCTGTCTTTTTAATGACTTCTTGCTTTCTTCATATATGATGTCCTTGATGTCATTCTATCATCCCTCTGGTCTTTGGTCTAATGACCAAAGTATTCAACGAGTCAAATCTATTCTTGAGATGGTCTCTCAATTCAGGTGAGATATACTCAAGGTCATATTTTGCCTCTCGTGGACTTGTTTTAATTTTCTTCAGCGTCAACTTGAACTAGCATATGAGTATTTGATGGTCTTTTCCGCAGTCAGCCCCTGGCCTTGTTCTGACTGATGATATTGATCATTGATATTGATGATAAGGTATTAATGAGCTGAAATGGACTGGAATTGGCCATTTTGGACAATCATATGGTCTACTATGCCAGGAATGACAACTTCAAGAGGAATGATGTTGCATTCACTGTCAAAAAGAACGCCTTAAGATCTATCCTTAAGTACAACGGTGTCAGTGATAGGATAATATCCATATGCCTACAAGGAATACCAGTGAATATGACTATTATTCAATTTTAAACCAATCACTAACCCAAAGATGAAGAAATTGAAGATTTTTACCAACTTCTGCAGCCTGAAATTGATCAAATATGCAAGCAGGATGCATTGATAATTACTGGTGATTGGAATGCAAAAGTTGGAAACAAAGAAGGACTGGTAGTTGGAAAATATGCCCTTGATGATAGAAATGATGCCGGAGATTGCATGATAGAATTTGCAAGACCAATGACTTCTTTATTGCAAATACCTTTTTTCACCAACATAAACAGTGACTATACACGTGGAAGTCACCAGATGGAATACACAGAAATCAAATCAACTACACATAACTTACTTGACTATAAAGAAAAACAATAAATTTCACAGAGGAAAAATTTTACAAGGGCCGTTAGCTGATCATCATCTTACAAACAAGGAATGAGCAATAAAAAGATGACAAAACATCTGGGGTCTTGAAAGCTAGCAAGCAGCCATCTAAGATGCATCTGTTGGTCCCAACCGACCTGGAGCAAAGGAGAATGAAGAACACCAAAGACACAGGGAAAATATTAGCCCAAGAGACAGAAAGGGCCACATAAACCAGAGACTCCCTCAGCCTGAGACCAAAAGAACTACATAGTGCCTGGCTACCACCAATGACCGCCCTGCCAGGGAACACAACCGAGAGTCCCTGACGGAGTAAGAGAAAAGTGGGGTGCAGAACTCAAATTCTAGTACAAAGACCAGACTTAATGGTCTGACTGAGACTGGAGGGACCCCGGGAGACATGGCCCCTGGACTCTCTATTAACCCAAAACGAAAACCATTCTTGAGGCCAACTCTTCAGACAAAGATTAGACTGGACTGTGGGACAGAAAATTATACTTGTGAAGAGTGTGCTTCTTAGCTCAAGTAGATACATGAGACTAAATGGGCAGCTCCTGGCCGGAGGTGAGATGAGAAGGCAAAAAGGGACAGGAGCTGTTGAATAGACACTGGAAATCCAGGGTGGAAAGGAGGAGTGTGCTGTCACATTATAGGGAGAGCAGCTAGGGTCACATAGCAATGTGTGTATACATTTTTGTATGAGAAACAGACTTGAACTGTAAACTTTCACTTAAAGCCCAATAAAAAAAAAAAAGAAGAAGAAGAAAAAGACAACCAAAAATTCCACTAATTACAAACGAGTGAGTTTCTTAACCCTTGGTTCAAAGTAAAAATGAAAATGTTAACTATTTAGAAAAGAAGAAAAAGGAGAAATTTTAGGCCAAAACCTAAAATATATAACTGGAGATATAGGAACATATTTATTCTTTGCTGTTGTTGTCAGTAGTCATCAAGTCATCCCCAACTCATGGCTACCTTACGTACCACAGAACGAAACATTGCTGGTCCTGCACCATCTTCCTGATCACTGATACGTTTAAGCCCACTGTTGTGGCTATTGTGTCAATCCCTCTCATGGAGGGTTCCCTCTTTTTGCTGACCCTCTACTTTAGCAAGCATGATGTACTTCTCTAGGGACTGTTCTTTTCCTGATGATGTGTCCAAAGTAAGCAAGACAAAGTCTCACCATCCTCATTTCCAAGGAGCACCCTGGCTTTATTTCTTCCAAGGCAGACTTGTTCTTCTGGCAATCCATGGTATATTCAATATTCTTCACCAACACGATAATTCAAACACATCAATTCTTCTGTCTTCCTTTTCATTGTCCAGCTTTTGCATGCATGTATACATGTGTAATTAGTCAGAAACGTCAACAATAGAAACGTCAACAATGACCTGGTCCTCTCTAAATGGCTGGATTATAAGAGAATGGGAAGTTGTGTGCTAACATCTTAATCTAAAGAAGTAAAAATGATGGCATTGGGGGAAGTTCTCAGAACAGCAACCATGGGAGAGGAAGGTACAGGACCAGCTCCCGGGACACTTGGGGCATGTGGGGTCCAGAAGCTGAGTCTCTAATCACAAGCATTAACACATGCAGGAAGAGGCCAAATTTAGAAAACTGAGACAGTGGGCATGGGACCACGCCGTAGGAGCTCCCGCTAAAAGCAAAAGGGGCCATAACAGGTACGATGGCAATCAGCACAAACAGGAACCAGGAAGGCACCATGTGTTCCCATCACACCTGACCCCTGGGCAGGGATATAAGTGCTCCTGGCACAGGAGGCTCCATACCTGAACACCTTCCTCTCTACCTGCTCCTCTGACCAAATCCATCCTTGACCCACCAGACTCATGGGCTGCTGTGGCTGTTCCGGAAGCTGTCGGGGCTGTGGCTCCAGCTGTGGGGGCTGCAGTTCCAGCTGCTGCAAGCCCATTTGTTGCTGCAAGCCCGTTTGCTGCTGTGCGCCAGCCTGTTCCTGCTCCAGCTGTGGCTCATGTGGGGGCCATAAGGGAGGCTGCAGCTCGTGTGGGGGATGCAAAGGAGGCTGTGGTTCCTACGGCTGCTGCCAGTCCAACTGTTGCAAAGCCAGCTGCTGCTCCTCAGTCTGTGGACAATCCTGCTGCCAGTCGAGCTGCTGTAAACCCAGCTGTTGCTCTTCAGGCTGTCGACAATCTTGCTGCCAGTCTAGCTGCTGCAAACCAAGCTGCTGTCAGTCCAGCTGCTGTGTCCCTGTTTGTTGCCAGTTCAAGATCTGACATAATGGCCAGCTCTCAGTTGAGCTCTCCCAGCTGCTACCTCTGGTGAGGCCTCTGGCATCCTGCAGACCTGTCTTCTGCTTTTGCCTGTATCCAGCACATCAAACACCATTCACCTGAGTGACCATCCTGGGAGAGACTCTCACTTCAGGCAAGGGCACGGTCTAGTGCTCACCAAGAGCCCTCTAAGAAGCAAGTGGCCACAGCTGGGCTTTCTAACCCTTCTGAGGGCCATTATCTTCCACTTCCAGGAACTGGCCCCCATGTTAGGGGTCTACCAGAGGCTTCCCAAAACATCTGCCATCTGGCTTCACAACAAGAAAAAACACCACCCCTGACCTCATCCAAGCTACTTCTTCCTACCACCATATAACCCAGCCTAGTGGAGCAAGAGGCTCCCTTCTTTTCAATAGGGTTCCATATTTGTATGTTAAAATATAATCCAATTTCCTTTCAATAAAAATTTCTGTCACTACAAAACAATTTCATTCATTGTGTGATTCTTTCATTCAGCCTCTTCACCACATACTGATGAATAAGCAACTTCACTGCTAAACGATGAAGTGCTTAAAGTCACACCCATTAAAATATGGAATAAGACAATAATGCCTGCCAATGTTAGTCATATTTTTGTGTAGTCTGTATAATTAAAAAAAAAAAGTTGCCATCAATTCCAACTCATTGCAACCCCATGTGTGTCAGAGTAGAACTGTGCGCCATATAGTTTTCAATGGTTGTAATTTTTCAGTAGATCATCAAATCTTTCTTCCAGGGCACTTCTGGATGGATTGGAACAGCCAACCTTTCAGTTAGTAACTGAGTGCTTAATCATTTGCACCACCCAAGGATTCCATCTAGATAATAAAAGCATTCAATTTAAATAATTACAAATTGAATATAATTATAAAATAAATACAATGTAAAAGAAGAAACACATTTTCCTCTTTTTAATATCATTATCGGTTGCTTTTGGGTTTATTCCAACTCATGGTGACCCCATGTGTGTCAGAGTAGAACTGTGCTCCGTAGAGCTTTCCATGGCTGGGTTTTCAGAAGTAGATTTCCAGGCCTTTCTTCTGAGGTGCCTCTGGGTGGACTCATACCATCAACCTTTCTATTAGCAGCCAAGCATGTTAACCATTTGCACCACATGGACTCCAGTGGCATCATTATACCCATAATACCCAAGGAACCTTGCACTGGCTTCCTCTCTCGGGTGTAACAAGTCATCACAAATTTGATGGCTTCAAACAACACACATTTCAGAAGTCTGAAATGGGTCTCACTGGACTAAAATCAAGGTGTTGGCAGGACTGTTCCTTCCAGAGGCTCTGTTTCCTTGCCTTTTCCAGCTTGTGGAAGCCACTCGTTCCTTGACTGTGGCCCCTCCTCCATCAAAAAAGAGCCAGGCATTGCTTCTCTTTGACCGTTGTCCATAGTCACGTCTCCCACTAACAACGGCTGGGAAAGATTCTCCATTTTTAAGGATTTATGATTAGATCAGCCCACCTGGAGAATCCAGGATCACCTCTCATCTCAAGGCCCTTAGCTTCATCACATCTGCAAAGTCCGTTTTGCCAAGTGTCTTAGTCCTTGAGTGCTGCTGTAACAGAAGTACAAGCGGTGGCTTTAAAATCAGTGGGTCAGGGTAATGAACAGCAGAGGATCTGGGGGGCAGAGGGGGGACATGGACACCCCACTTCTCACTTTGCTCTGTGACAGGAGCCACAGCCTGCCCAGTCCCAATGTGCCTAACCCCTTGTTTCTCCCTGCGGGCCAGGCAGGGCATGACCACTGGGCAGTGCATGTTGACTCACTCCTCTTCTTTCTTCCCAGTCGGCCTGGTGATAGTAAGCCACAGTCTTTGTTCCTCCATGTGCTACGCTTTCAGGAGGCAGGCCCCAAATGCCCTGTGATTGTGCAGCTCAGTCTGAAATGGGCAAAGCCTGTCTAATTCTGAAATAAAAGATCAGCAAGCCACTCAACTGGCCATCCTAACGCCCCTGCCTCCAGACAGCTTCGCTGCAGTGGAGGGGAGTGTTGATCTCTATCTGTCTGAGTACACTGGCTTTGAACTCAGGGGAGAAGAGAAAGGTGTTATAAACACACTCTTACATCCCAACAGACGGTGAACAAAACAGAACTGCTGAAATACGGAAACACTTGGTTTCACAGATGCAAATACGTAGATGTTTGGGGAAAATAACAAAAAATATATATATATTAACAAGAAATAACGCTAAGTGAAAGGATTATGAGTAATTTGTTTTCTTCCTTAATTTTCAATTATTATTTTTCTGCAAAGATCAGGTGGTTGTTGTACAAAGAACATGCATTATATGTGCATTGGCTTTCTGTGCCTGCTGTAACAAATCATCACAACTTGGTAGCCTAAACCAACAGAAATATGGTCTTCCAAACCCCGAGAGTATGGCCCCCAGACACCCCTTTAACTCAGTACTGAAGTCACTCCTGAGGTTCACCCTTTATCCAAAGATTAGACGGGCCCATGAAACAAACAATAACACACGTAGCTCAACCATGTATACGAGACTAAATGGGCACACCAGCCCAGGGGCAAGGACCAGAAGGCAGGAGGGGACAGGAAAGCTGGATGAATGGAAATGAGGAACCCAAGGTCGATAAGGGGAGAGTGTTGACATCTCATGGGGTCGAAAAAAATATGTGTATTAATTGTTTAATGAGAAACTAATTTGCTCTGTAAATTTTCATCTAAAGCACAATTTAAAAAAAAAAATAGACTCCCACATTTCTGGAGGCCAGAAGTTCCACATCAGTTTCACTAGGCGGAAACCAAGGTGTTGGCACGGCCATGCTCCCTCTGGAGGCTCTAGGTGAGAACCTGTTCCTTGCCTCTTCCAGCTTCTGGTGGCTGCTAACATTCTTGGTTTGTGACCACATCACTCCAATCTTCAAGGCCAGCATCTTCAAATCTATCACTCTCCCTTCGCTCTGTCTTCACACTGCTGTCTCCTCTGAGTGTGGTCAGATCTTCCTCTGCCTCCTTCTTATAAGAATACATGTAATTGCATTTAGGGCCCCCCAGAATAATCTCCCCATCTCAATATCCTTAATGTAATCACATCTGTAAAAACCCTTTTTCTAAATAGGGTAACATTTACAGGTTCCAGAGATTAGGCATGATATCTTTGGTGGCCATTTATCAGCCTATGACAGTCCACCCTCTGTCCTCCAAAAACTCACTTCTGTCCTGTAATGAATTGAATTGTGTTCCCCCAAAATGTGTGTCAATTTGGCTAGGCCAGGATTCCCAGTATTATGATTATCCACCATTTTGTCATCTGATGTGATTTCCCTATGTGTTATAAACCCTACCTCTATGATGTAAATGAGGCAGGATTAGAGGCAGTTATGTTAATGAGGCAGGGCTCAATCTACAAGGATAGGTTGAGTCTTAAGCCAATCTCTTTTGAGATATAAAAGAGAGAAACCAGTAGAGATACAGGGAGACCTCATACCACCAAGAAAGCAATGCCTAGAGTAGAGTGCGCCCTTTGGACCCGGGTTCCCTGCCCTGAGGAGCTCCTAGTCCAGGGGAAGATTAAGTACAAAGACCTTCCTGCAGAGCTGACATGGAGAGAAAGCCTTCCCCTGGAGCTGGCACCCTGAATTCAGACTTCTAGCCTACTAGACGGTGAGAGAATAAATTTCTGTTTGTTAAAGCCACCCACTTGTGGTATTTCTGTTATAGCAGCACTAGATAACTAAGACATGTCCCATATGCAAAATATATTCACCCCATCCCAACAACCCCAAAAGTATCAACCCGTTACACATAAACTCAAGTTCAAAATGTCATCTAAATATTACTAACTCGAAACTCCCAAATTTAATCATCTATATCAGGTATGAGTGAGACCCTGGAGCAAAATCTCTCTCCATCTGTGGGCCTGTGAAACTAGAGAACATGTTATCTGTTCCCAAAATACAGTGGTGGGGCAGGTTTAGGTTAAGAGTTATAGACATTCTTAATCCAAAGGGGGGAAAGCAGAAGAAAGAAAGGGGTCACCAGTCCAAAGCAATTTTTAAATCCAGGTGAGAAAAATCCATTAGGTTTTAAGGCCTAGAAGTAATTCTGTGTTGGTCAAACCTTCACCCCCTGTGCCCTCAGCTCCACTCTCTATACCTTCACATCCTCTGCTTTGCCCTTGAAGTCATTCTTTCTTCTTCTTGAAAGGCAGCACATATGGGCAGATAAGTACCTGTTTCCTGCCTTAGACTTTTGGGAATCCAATAGCGTCCCTTCATTTCATTCCCACTCTGTCTGTTTTAGTTTCTTAGTGCTGGTATAATAAAAATACCACAAGTGGATGGCTTTAACAAACATAAATTTATTTTCTCAAAGATTAGGAGGCTAGAAGACTGATTTTAAGGTACTGGCTCTAAGGGAAGGCTCTTTCTATCCTCTCTGGGGAAAAGCCTTTGTCTCTGCCTCTCTAGCATTCTTCTCTGTATTCCTTGGAGATCTCCACTTGGTCTCTATCTTTCTCCCATTTGTAATTTCTTCTCTGTGCCTAATATGTTCTTTTTATAACTCAAAAGTGAGTAGGTTTAAGACATGTCTGATATGGCCTCATTAACATAACAAAGAAGAGCCTGTTTTCAAATGGGAGTACAGTCACAGGTATAGGGGTTAGGATTCCAACACATATTTTGGGGGGACATAATTCAATCCATATCACTGCCCCTTTCACTCCAATCTGGCAGTGTTTCTGCTGATATAACATTCTCAAAAAACTTGTGGGTCTCCTCTGTATGTCACAAGGATTCACACCAATAGACAAAAGTGTCCTATATAGGTCTTTCCTGAACAACCCCATCTCTATCCTGGCTTCTGCTGAGATGGCTGAGGTGATCCATAAGTCACACACCTACTTTCTTCAGCACAAGCCAAAGGTTGTCCAACCACATCGTTGGCCTTCTCTCCAGAGCACACTTTACTAACAGTGAGTATCCCA